TCCCTATTTCTGTCTCACGATGGCTGATTGTAATTCTAAAACCTATCCCTGCTAGGACCCATGAGGCACTGCCCTGTTTGTGGTGTCAGTTGTTTCCCTTGCTCTTTATTCCAGCTATGGTAGTTCCACAGACACTCCTCAAAAATGCTGAGATGGGACCAGCAGTTGGCATAATGGCTATGCCACTGGATTCCCATGCGCGTTCTGGACCCGGTGGCTTAAACTCATGCTGGGCATATGTGCGTGCGTGCCCAAGATCCTGAGAGGAGAATGGAGGAGAAGGGATTGTGGTGTGGCCATTCTCCCTGGGGGGTGATTTCTCACTTTCTGTCTCTCTGTCTGTCTTTCTGGTGAGCGCATGCACCCTATAGCAAAAACCTCTCCAAAAATACCCCAAAATACAACAAGAAAATGCTGAGCCAATTTCTACCACAGTGCCTTTGCACTTGCTGTTTTCTTTACCTGAAATCTCTCTTTAATCTACACAAAACTCAAAGTTTCTGTTCTAGGTTACCTCTTTAAAAATGAGCCAGGCAGAGATATTTATTTATCTTATTGAGAGACATCTCTCTCTTCCTTAATATTTTAGTGGGGAAAATATTGCCTTCTTCTTCTTGACTTCCCCTCTCAGCGTGATTAACAGAAAGGGACAGACTAAGGGAGTTGCAATGGATTAAAACTAACTTTGAAATGAATATGCACAAGGGACTCAGAGCAAAAAGCAAGGGACTAAAGGTAGGGGCTAATTCCTTAGTCACCAGATCTTTAAGAGGAAGATAGAAAATGTATTGACTATGGAGCCCCTGCTGAATGCTCGATCTTCATATCCCTGTGCAGGAGGTACTAATCTTATCTGTATTTCAGAGACAAGAAAACTGAGGAGCTTAGACAAAGAAACTGGCCCTTGGAGCCAGCAGGTGGCATAGTGGTGGCCCATGACCAACTGTGCTTCAAATCCTGGGCCCGGCAGCTTGAAAATCATGCAGTATGCATGTATGTGCATGTATGCCCAAAATCCCAAGAGAAAAAGAGATTGCAGCATGGCCATTCCCCTGGGGGCAGTGATTTTTCACTTTCCTTCTTTTTCTCTGTCTCTCTCCCTCTCCAGTGAGCACATGCCCCCTATGGCAAAAACCTAAAAGAAAAAAAAAAAAAAGGAACTGGCTCTATATGAGGAGTTGAGCAAGACTTGAATGCGAGTCACCCGAAAAACACTGCAAAGTTCTTTAGATGCCACCCAGTGTTCCTCCTTCAGGGAGAGAGGAGGCAGCTTAGAATGACGTGGGATAATATTAAAGAGATTGGCCAACCATGAAAAACCATGAAAGGTGCTTTTTTTCCCCCCAAACAAATAATTATTGTGTGTAGAAAGTCAAGTGAAGACATGAAAACTCATGTTTCTATCCCAGGGGCTGTTTGTCTATGGATATCCTATTGTTGCAGTACCATTAGCTGGAAAAACTATTCTTCCTCTAGTGCATTGTCTTGGGTCTATTTCTGGAATCTCTCTTCTGTTCTGTTGATCTATTCATCTGTCCTAATACCAACACCACCCTGTTTTGTTATTTTGTTTTTTTTATAAGAAGACAACTTTTATCAATGGGCAAAATAGTTGAAATGATACCAAAGATAGGCAAATCTCAAATACTCATCTAAAAGTTATTTGACAGGCTGTATGAAAAATATCAGTGCAAATGCTAATGTCATATCACTACCCATCTATTAGAATATGTAGATGTATTAAAATGTGATATGTAAATATACAATTCATTTATTCATCTCTCTACTAATATCACATTCGATAAAATTCACTTCAAATCAGTATATACTATGATCAAAGTATTTTTTAACTTCTAAATTTTTTTAAAAATTTGTTTCATTTCATTTTCTTCCATACATTCAATCATATTATTATTTGTCTTACAAAATGGATATTTCAACTGGTTGTAACTCTGCAATAAGTTTTAAAACTGAGAATTTCAAATCCTCCAACTTTATTTTTCTTTTTCAAAGTTATTTTGGCTATTCTATGTCCTATGCACTTCCATATGAATTTCAAAATCAGATAGTCAATTTCACCAAAAACAAACAACTTAGAGATTTTTGATTGTGTTAAGTTTATAGATCGACTTGGAAAGTGCTGACATCCTAACAACACTGAGTCTTCAGATCCATGAACGGGATATCTCTCTTATTTATGTAGGTCTTCTTTACTATCTCTCAGTGGTGTTCTATAATTTTTATTGAACAGGTTTTACACATATTTGTCAGACTTACTTCCAAGTAGTTTATATTTTTAATGTTGGTATAAATGATATTTTAAATTCCAATTATCAGTATATGGAAGTACAATCAATTTTTATATATTGAGCTTAGATCCTGCAACCATCTAAACTCACATATTATTTCAGGTAGTTTTTTTTTTTTTAGTTGATTTTATAGGATTTTCTACAAAGATAGTGACACTTGGTGGGGGGGGGAGCTATGTTCAAGGAGAATACATCCTGATAAGCTCCATCCTCAGGCTGTTGGAAGGAAATAGAGGGACAATCCAATGTGAAGTCCTTTATCCTCAGGGCAGCAGATTCAAAGAGCTAATGGTTTCATTAAGGCCAATGCTAAAATGGATTGATATTCTATTAATATTAGGGTACACTCTCAGCAGAGATCACTTGATTATCTATATATTCAACATGGCTAGGAGCCAAGGTGAGAGCTGAGTAAAGGCAAAAATATCCAGCCTTGGGTTAGAAAAATGTCCACAAATCCTTTCTACAAAGCACTCCCTTCTCTGACCTCCATGCAGTCTCCTTCCTGGTCCCCAGGCTTCTCTTCTTGCCTCCTTCTATCCCCTCTCCATTGAGTCAGATTGTGAAAAAATGTAAATCATATCATGTCAGGCCCTGTACTTAGAATAAAGTACAAGCTCTTCACCCAGGTCTAAGCAGCCCTTGCTGTACGATTTCCTTCCCATCCCCAGTAGTCCAGGTCATTTTCAGTGTTTCTCCCTGCTGGAAGCACTCCCCCCATACCCCTCCTCTCCCCAGCACTCATTACCTGCCTAAATCCTCCTTGTCACTTCTTCCAATACCCTTCCGGATCCTCTCAAACAATGCTCACTCTCAGAGCAGCCCAGTTTTTTTCCTGCCTTGCACCCACCATTTTGGTCATTAAGTTTCACACTAGAACAGTGCTGGGAGAGTCAGGACCAGTGCTGTTTTTTCTCCCATCTCTTACCAGTGCCTGACAAGCAGTGGGCACTTAATATGTAGTTTAAATGACAGGGCTCTGTAGCCACATACACACCTAACCATTCATTCCCCAACCTTTGTGAACAACCTTACAATATGTGGGGCCTTCAAGAAGTTTATAGGAAAATGCATATTGTGAAAAAACCATGCATAGATTTCAGAATATTCTTTGTACCAAAATAAACTTGTATTTGAATTTAATTTTTCCATGACCTTTTTGAAATCCCCTAGTGTATCTTGGATGTTTCTTTCTTCAGAAAGTTAATTCCAACCTTGGCTCCAGGCTAAAATCTCCCCCAGGTGATTCTGGAAAATTCTAATGCTCAGAGCCCACCCTACACCATTGAAATCCAAGTCCCTTGAGGGTATGGGCCCTGCTATTTCTATTTGTTGTGAAAGCTCTCCAGGTGATTCTAATGTCTACCCAGAATGGAAAATCAGAGAAGAAAAGGCTGTCCTCAGCCAGCCAGGTGATAAAAAGTCCTGGATGGCTTCCCCCCACCTCCCAGAAGGGCCAGCAGGTGAGATTTATAAGGAATCTCATTTGGGACTCTGTCCAACCCAGCCTCCTGCAAGGGTTCACTCGCTCCTGAGCTCACGCCATTCCAATGGAGTAGGAAGAAAAGAATCCAGACCAAAGTGGAAAGCATTTTCAAACTTTATTTACAACTGTCACAGTGACAAAAAGTAGTTTGGAAAAAAAAAAAAAATGCTAGTTTCTCCCTGAGCCTCAAAAAAGAACAGATAGAAGTTACAGGAGGTTCATCTCACAACAGGCATTTTTACTGAAATACTAGGATTTTTTTTTAATACAATCAGTTAGAAACACACACAAATTACTTTAAAAAAAAAAAAAGAGGCCAGACAGGAGCTCAGCCACTTGTCCAAGAGCAGCTGGGTCCCCCAACAGGCTCAACTGCTGAGAGTCCTGACTTTAGCTGTCAGCCCCTGGCCTGCTCAGACTGCAAACAGTCGTACAAAGTGGTCTAATCACTGGCAAAAAAAAAATTACCCGCCCCCCCAATAAACATACATAGACACAAAGTAGATTTGTTACGTAGTTTACAAGCACATTCCCATCACACAGCAAGACTGGGACAGATGATCTGGGGTAGCAGATGAGAGGGAGACACGAAACGCAGGAGTTTAAAAGGCAAGACCCCCGTCCACAAAAGCAGGCAGGGATGAGAAATGCTGCGAGGGGATGAGAGTAAGGAGGAACAACTCTCTGCAGCTGAGACAGGACGAAGAAGGAAGCGAGAGAGCGAGCAACCCCCTCACAGCACAGGCTGCAGGCCTCTCCCACTTCTGCGAGCTGGAAGAAGTTATTGCCATCGGTGTGTCACAGAGGCAGACAAAGGGGGAAACCGGGGTGAGGATGGTCGTCAGCTCCCCAGAGGCGAACCTGGCTATCATGCCAAAGCACACCCTCATTTTCCTGCCCAACACTCCCCGGAGCTACACTGACCTTGAGGTATTAAATACAGCTATACACACAAGTCCAAACTGGGTGGGGGGGAATGGGGGGGGTCAAGCTAGATGGCCTGGAGACCTGAGGGGAATGGTAGGAGCCTTGGTTGGCCAAGCATAGCCCAAGAGAGGCTCTTCGTCCACCTCTTGGAGCTACAGTCCTGCTCTGAGACATAGTTTGAAGCATTTGTCCCAGTTTGCTGTTCTGGATGGTTCCTAACTGATAAGAAGCTCTGAGCCTAAAGCCTAACTTTCTTCTGCAGCTAGGTCCCCTGGAGGAGACAGGAGGGAGGTGAGAAGGGATGAGGATCGCCATCCAGTAGGACACCAGAGTGTTCCTTCACCATACCTCTCCCCAATCCACATGCAGGAACTGGGGAGCAGCCAGATAACTCATGGCATCCTTTAGTTTCAAAGTGAATTCTCAAGGCTGCTACATGTGAGCCTTGTCACCCCATGCATGAATTCCCAGGCTATGCCAGCTCTTGGGACCTGCGTGAAAGTTCATCTCCCCAACAAGAAGCAGAAAAGACTGCCTCTGCTCTTTACTCAGTCCCCACAGGAATCCACATGGGAGCAGGGACTAGCTGTACTCTTCAGTGGGGCTGGTGAATGCACTTGGCAGCTGCTGTGGCCAGGGGTGGGAAGGGTACTGGTAAGAAGGACAAACCTCAAGAGTCTACCTACTCCAGCCCTTTGCTTAGATTCTGACAATGCATCTTGAGAGGGGAGCAGTTTGAGGGAGGAATCTTCATGCCCAAGTGTCCACCTCCAGCGATGCCAGGAAGTGAGCTCCCTAACTCCCTGCAATACTGGCAGGTGGAAAGGATAGATCAGGGGAGAAAAAGCTTGAAAGCGCTGCCTCTTATAAACCTCCAGATCACCTGGGCTACGTGAGCCTACCACGTAGGGGGCAGAGACAAGGAAGAGGACAGGGTGACCTTTCTTTTCCTGTTCATCACCTCCAGCTGGCTTTGCAAGCAGCCTCCTCACCCTCCTCCCTGCCATAGACCAACACACCTGAATTAAAGCAAAAGGGGATAGTGAGTGAAACTGGAGAGCGAGATGAAGACTTTGTTTTCTGATGCCCCAGCAGCCAGAGTGGATGCCTGGCAAATTCCTTGCAGCAGTTCTCTGCTGTATGCTCCCCTAAAAAACATGTATTTTCTCTTTTGCCTCATATTTGTTTTCTTACCCCAAATGTTCCTTGCTGCTTTGCACAGCCCCCACCCTCCCCCCCAACCCCAGAGCCCGCTGGAATCCCACCACTGCCTCTCACTTGCTTGAGTTCAGATAATGATCTCAAAAGCAGCACCCGATTTCCCGCCCCCCGCCCCTTGCTCTAAGCAGCTTCCTTTCTCAGAAGGCCTTGCAAATTGTCAGAGGGCTCCGCTGCTCAACAAAACTTTTTTAAAAAAGACAAGAAAATAAAAAAACCAACTCGGTGATTTGCAGGTGCAAAACGGAAGCCTCATTTGACATTTTGAGAACTACTGTGGCTCACTCTTCTTCCATCACGATGGGAAAAACACAGTTCAGGTACAGATGCTGGCTGGTACGGCCTTTTGGAGTCCATGGGGACTCTACTGCTCCTTGTTTTCTTTTGCTGTCTCTTCGCAGTTGTCTTGCTCATCCTCTTGGACCAAGAACTCCTCAGGGGGCCACCGGAGCTCGCCACTCTCCACCTCCCCCTCTGTGGGCTCCACGACTATGGAGGGCAGGCGGTCCTTCAGCTTGCAGCATCGGTCGAAGTCCGATGGGTCGGGGAAGATCTAGAAGGAAAACAGGGCAGGCACTGTGTCATGCACATATCTGAAACCGAGCCAGGGACTGTACTGTGCCCCAGGAAGCTGTGGGGAGTCAGGCAAAAGCTGGAGGAGTCAATTCTGGGGCCACCTAGGAAACTGTCCCTCAGCCAGATTTTGAGTCTAATCTCAAAACTGAACATTTTGGGGTAGTGCCACTGAGTCCAAAAGGCTGATGTAACTCTATTTGTGCTCTTTGTTTTATTTTCAGATAAAAGAATGGAGAATCGTTTCATTCACAGTAACTCACATCTCTTCCGGCAGCATACACTGTATGCCAGCAGTCCAAAGCATCTAACACACCATATTACGTTTCTCCCAGCACAATGATTGACACCTGGAATGAGCAGGTTACCAGGTGCTCTACATGTGTGATTTTGAACTAACATGGTAACACTGAAAAACACGTGTTGCAAATGCTATCCTAAAGCATCTCAAGCTTGGGAAAGTAGGTTGTTCAAAATTACGCAGCCTGGAAATGAGTGAGGGATGGGATGAGATTAACCTGCGTCTGCTTGACTCGCATACCCATACCCAATAACAACCTCAAGTAGATGAGGCCTGATCCCATTGCAGCTGTAAAGTCAAAGCCAAATCCGGATTGAAGGCATGGGCCCCTGTCACAGGCAAGCTGGGAACAAAATCGAAGCCTCTTTTCTTTTTCACCTATAAGCAATTCCTAGCTTCTAGCAGGCTATACACCTGCAAGAGTTTCTCCTTTCCAGAGTCCTGTCAACAAACCTTCATTTGTAATATGTACTGTGTGTCCCACCCAGAGCTGGTAGAAACTGCAAGCCAGCTTCTAAAATCAAGGGCCAAGGCTGGCTCTGTGGATTCCCTTTGCACACAAAGCCTGTGACTACAGCTGACCCAATTCTTTGCTTAGCAGCTTAAGTACTTAATCCTTTGGGCTGCTGGTCCCTTGCCATTCACAGCCCTCAGTGACACACCGGAGAGCCAGGGAGAGGAGGCTCTGTCTCAGATGCTGGAATCAGAGACAGCTCCTTCCAGGCCATCTCATCTCACTTCTCCATTTAATAGATGCAGAAACTAAGGCTCAGAGGAATCAGAAGATTTACTCAAGGTCATACAGCTTGCACATGGCAAAAGAAAGAATCTGAAAATCTGGAGTGGAGGCTAGGGGTGAGGAAACACATTTGAAGAAGTCTTGGGGGCTGCCTACCCCTGGCTCAGGAGGTAGAAGAAATAATCTAAGAATTCAGGCCTTCCCAGCTTCCTGGGTACTCCAAGGGTGCCTGGTCTTACTGCACCCCAACCCCAAGCAGTGCTACCCCAGCCAAGTCATACTCTAACCATGTCATAGGCCACGTGGGGCTTCCAGGAAGAACAGGCCTCAGCAAAGCCTCCCCATCCCTACAGACGAGTGATTATTAACCATTTATCCAATAAAGACCTATTGCTGGGGATTAAACCTTAAGCCAGAGCTGAACAACCAGCCATCATTAAAGACTTAACAAGGCTCATAAAAGTATGGTAATGGCAGGCAGAAGGAAAACAAGCCAAGGAGGGGCCATACCAGTGTGTGTCAGGAAAGGCACTATGAAGCTGACCGTAACTCTGGGCTTTCTCTTCTTGAGAACCAGCCGTGAAGTGCTGTAGACTCACATGTGCCAAGCGGGTGAGGGTCAAGTGTGTTATTGGGACCCTTCCTTAGTTCTCATGTGGAGATGAAGCCGCTCCCAGGGGGTAAAGACACAAGATACCCTCCAAACACAAGTGAGGAAGCATACTAGAGTTTACAAAGCTCTTTCAGGACGTCACCTCATTGAACCTCACTATTAACCATTTATCCAATAAAGACCTATTGCTGGGGATTAAACCTTAAGCCAGAGCTGAACAACCAGCCATCATTAAAGACTTAACAAGGCTCATAAAAGTATGGTAATGGCAGGCAGAAGGAAAACAAGCCAAGGAGGGGCCATACCAGTGTGTGTCAGGAAAGGCACTATGAAGCTGACCGTAACTCTGGGCTTTCTCTTCTTGAGAACCAGCCGTGAAGTGCTGTAGACTCACATGTGCCAAGCGGGTGAGGGTCAAGTGTGTTATTGGGACCCTTAGTTCTCATGTGGAGATGAAGCCGCTCCCAGGGGGTAAAGACACAAGATACCCTCCAAACACAAGTGAGGAAGCATACTAGAGTTTACAAAGCTCTTTCAGGACGTCACCTCATTGAACCTCACTGCTACCCAAATAGCAGTAAGAGCCTGAGACTCTGAGGCTCATATGGCAGAGCCAGGATTCGAACCTCAGCCTTCTATTTTTAGCACCTATGCTTTTAAAGAGTGAACTAGAACGCCACTAGGTCAATATCTCTACTTCACAGATGGAAAACTAACCAGGGAGCGTGACTCTGGGCCTTGACTGCTCAGTCAGTGGCTGGAGGCTCCAGCTCAGGTAGCAGAACCACCAACTGGACAACCAGGTCTAATAGATGAGATTCTTGGTCCAGATACTTGTTCTAAGCTTTCCAGTGTTGAGGCAGAACTACACGGCACTAACGGGAGATAGATACCTGGCCCTGTACAGTCCTCAGCCCCTGTTTCCACCCTCAGAACTCCCAGGCTCAGAGCTGGGCCTCCCTGGGACATGCCCACTGGGCCCCCATTAGGGTGAAGTGAAATCCCTATTTTAATTACAACCTCTCAAGCCCAGGAAGGGTAAGAGGGGCAAAAAGCAGGGCAAGGCCAGCTGCAGGAGGAAGGGGAAGAAAAAAGGTGCTAAGCATCTGATTGCATTTCAGGCTAGGAATAGGTCTTTCACTAAAATAAGAGATGTTTAAAAATGATGATGGATGGCAGCTTTTGGCTGAGCAGAATCTCAGTCTCTGCACTAATTCTAGGAAGTTCGTCGTGGTTTTATAGATGAGGAACCTGGAGCAACAGAGAAATGCAGTATGTGACTTGCTCAAGGCCACATACCTAGGAGGTGGCTGAACTGGGCTCTTAACCCAGGCCCATAGGACTTCGAATGAAGAGTTTTTTGATAACATATGGGGCCAAGCCACAGATTGATCTTTTCTTTTTTCTTTTAAGTTTATTTTATGAGAGAGAGTGGCACATCTTTGAAAGGTCATGTCATGCTGCAGTTGCCTACTCAGCCTTCCAGCAACCCCAATCACAGGGGTGCACGTGGATATGCTGCCATGTTCAGGTCGGCCTGGGATCTGATCCTCAGGCCTTCTGATATGGCTCCAGCATTGTACAGTGGCACTCCAGCATTTGCGCTGCCATTGCTGGGCCTCTAACCACGTCTTCGACATGAGCAGTATAACCCCAGTCACATCTTCTCAGCCCCTCTATGCCTCCATTTCTCCTTTTGTGAAGTGAAGCGACCTTCCTACCTCACGAGATAGTTATACATTTTGGCAAACACAAAGATGATAAAATACTTAGAGGCTGTAAGCTAAATTCAAATTGCAATGTCCTCTTTGGATCAGTATCAACAGGACTACAGTAAGTACACAAACTCCAAGCAAGAGCAGCAATACTAATAGTAATTAAAATAAATCCAAACAATGCCTTTCATACCAAAAGCTACACAATTAAATCTTTTAAGTCCCTGGGGGGAAGTTTGAGCATTGAACTTCTGATACTACTTAGTTGCCAGAGAACTTGCTCCCTGAATTGCTCAAAGCAAGTGCCATTTAAAGAAAAAAAGACTTTTTTTTTTTAACAAAGCCTGTTAATTGCATTGTTATAAATCACTGTAATAATTTTAACCTTCCATCAGAGATTTTATTATCAGATTATATCAATTTGTGCCTCTGAAAATTGTAGCTTTCTGCAAAAACAAACAAGCATCCAGAACCAAATAGCTCCTGGTTTCTTTACAGATAGAAAGCCTTGCAAAGTGTTGCTGAGTATTTTGCCAGCACAATCTTATCTCCGACAGCTGCTTAAGAGGCTGACCCTAAGGAGGTCAACATTTTTCCACTAAGTCATGCTTTTTAATCATCTAGGCAGCAGAAAAATGAGAGGTTGCAACTGCAATTTGGCGGGGCGGAGAGAAGGCAGTGGAAAAAAGGCCTGGAGTCAGCCTTGCCAAGCACATGACAGGTAGGGTTGAGGCGGCAGGCCAGGCCAGCATGCTGTTTGCCTGCAGGACCTGGCAGGGAATAAAGACCTGCCCCTGTTCCAAAAAGAAACTGCTTCTGGTTAAACCTCTTACCCTAAAGTACTTCTCTCTAGACTGCAAAGGTTAAAAAAAAAAAAAAAATCTCCCTTTTCTTTGCAGCAAAGCCTCATCTTCAAGAAAGCCAGCAAGAAAGATGGGGAGGCTCTGAGTTCTGAGAGGCTATCCCATTCTCCCCCAAGGCAGAACAGGTCAGGTCTGGAAGTAACCATCCTCAGCTATGATCCTCCCAGCCTAACACCTTCCTCCTTCTGCCAGCTCTGGACTCCACACCCAGCTGTCTCACCCAGCTGCCAAGGCTGATGGTTTGGATAAAACTAATGGACATCAAGTTCCTTTCTTTGCAAATAGAATGAAATCTTAATGATCATACATATGCAGAACATCCCGGGTCCTGTGTGCCCCACTGTGTAGGAACAGGGCATTCAATTTTACAGTGATGTCTCCTCAGAGGCATCCTTTGTCAGGTGGCCTCCAATTCCCCTTGACCCCTATGTTTCTGGAACTCAAATGGATTCACTTGCAAGGTCAATGGAGCTTCTAGGAGGGAGAGATGTAGTGACATGTATTAATAGTTTGGATGCCAATACACTGGCATTTCCAGCTGTATAGATCGGCACTGTCCAATTGAATATGCTGCAATCATGGAAATATTCTCTATCCGCACTGTCCAATATAGTAGTCGCTAGCCACATATGGCTACTGAGCGCTTGATATGTGGCTAAAATGATAAATTTCATTGAATTTTTATTAACATAAATTGATATATAAGTAAATATAAATTTCATGGCTAGCAGACACTGCATTGGATAGAT